AGAAGTGGCTTGATGCATTAGTGATAACCGTTATCTATTCCGGACGTCACCCATGGTCGAAAATAGCGGTATAATCGAAGGCGACGGGGAAAGAGCGAGGAAGAGCGAGAGAGATGGGAAGAGCTCTGAACGAGGAAGGCGAGTTGGGAATGATGTCGAGGGCGCGACGAAGAGGGAGAGCTCCGAGTAATGTCGGGGCAGGCTCGTGCGAGGTGCGAGAAAGGAAGCGTCGTTTCCGCATCGCGATTCCGCCCCGTCATTGGCTCCGATTCCGTGCTAACGTTAAACGCGTGCGAGCCCCCGGTACACTCTCGCGCAACGGGGGAGACAGCGAGGGTCAGCGCGGGGGAGGATTTTAGGGATGGCCGCTGCCGTTCCACCATCCTCTCATCCCCCTGGTCCTCTCATCGATAATATACGATCGTACATGATTCTGCTTCGTGTATCACAATGGCCCTCCGGGCAAGCCCGTTCCACCTCTATCTACGTACCTGGCGCGCCGAACTACCGGCGCCCGGAGTCCGCGGTGGATAATGAGTGATTAGGTAATTAGTTGTCCAATATTCGCCCCATCCGACCGTTCCTTCCTCTCCCCTTGCCGCGCGCACCCTCTCCTCCGTTCGCTTCGTCACGATCTTCCCAGCGTTCACCAGCTTCGCCGCGTGGTCTCCTGCTACCGCTTGACCGGATGCGTTGACCGGACAGTACAGACGTACGAATGATAGTACGGCTGGCGTCATCATGATTATCATGTTATCATGTAAGAAACTTTGTATAAAAGCTTTGTATAAAAGCTTTGTCAAAATAGATGATAGATAAGCCGATATGTTCCAAACCTCTATTAAATATTTCAGGTTTCTTTCATCGTTAGCGCTTCGTTTGTAAAAACTATACCAATTCTCATATTAGCAGTTTTTTTTTACAAAAGAATAAATAAATTCAGATAATAAAACTTGTAGTATTTTCAATCGTTAGATTTGATTATTTATGTCCTGCGCATTTCTAAAACTTCACTAAAAGTATCAAGTAGTTATAACATTCACATTTTTTAAACTACAAAACCTTACAAAAATTTTCTAAAGACATTAAAGTACGTGTAAGAATTACTTAATAATTTTTAGACACTTGACCAAATCTAAAAGTTCAAAAGTAAAGGTTATATCATTATCTTTCTTAAAAAAGTAATGAAAATTTACCTGGCTAGTGTTATCATAATTATATTTTTGTTATCGTACATCTTTAATTGTAAACTGAAATTTTTCGATCAAGACCTGTGACTTTAAATTTTCTTTATCGAAAATATTTTTATAACAAATAATATGAAAATATATAGAAAATATTTTTGAAGCTGCTTCCGTTCTTTTTAACACATCAGCTTACATATACATAAAATATATAGGTACATAAAGCTCATCTCTGCCCTTCGTCACCCAATTGTGCGAATAGTCCGCGCCTCGCAGCGAGTATCGATTTACAAGAGAGAAAGGGAAGAAGGGTGAAAAGAAGGGCACGTCCGTCCAATACCTATGTCCAAAAACAACCGAGTTCTCGAGCCCCGAAGCTGAGGAACCGCCATGTGTGCGGCGCCGAGACAACCCCTTATAAATATAACAATTAAAAAGAGGGCTGTGTGTGTGTGGGTGTGTGTGTGTGTGTATGGAGTGCGAAACGTCCTGCTTCGAGGGTGGACACCCGCGGGCACCCCAACACAGAACGCAAAACAGAAGGGCGCAGTCCGTTTGCCGCTGCGGGCTTCTTTCTGTCGGTAGGACGCCAAAAAATAACGGAATAATAATGAATCAAATTTTCGATCATATACAAAATTTCACCGCTTTTTATCGCATCGACGTTATACATAAAAACAGGAATCGCCCAACCCGCGAGAAATAGTATTCTTGATTTATCTTTTGTTAACCGTGTAAATATTATATAAGGCAATTTCCATAAATACTGAATTAGTTAATGAGTTTTAGCTAATTCTATCTCTCGTTCTCTAATTTTGTCTATGGATAATCAGTTAAATTCTAGTTAAATTCAATTGATGTTATGCGAACGGTCTGTAATAATTTTAACTCTACTGCACTCCGATCTTGTTCAGTCTACCGCCACATTATCATAATTATTGGATTAAGAGTGTAGTCGACTGACTCCGCAAAGCCGTCGATGTATCTCGTAAAGCTGTATCCATTGTTTGATGAGTGATTGACTGAACCGAGAAAAAGGAAAGGAAACAGAGACAAGCGGTGATCGGTGAGGACCGCGTGGGCGACACGAGGGAGTTAATTCACGAAAGCGCCGAGGCGAATTCAATTCGCGCGAGTTAGCGCGTGACGAAATCGCCGCTCGTCGCCTCGTTGCCGACGACCTAGGTCATAACTATTTAAATGCCCGCGGCTGGATAAATTGTTGTATTAGTCACGCCAAGCTTATATTAATACGTGGCCCGTCCGGGTTCGTCGTTCGTGAGCCCGTTATTTCTCCTTCCGTCAAAGTCCTACTTAGATTTCGTAAAACGGGAGGACAAAGCGTGGATTATTCGTTTCCACATCGTTAATCTCGAATATCTCGAAAGTTTATGAATTGCAAGCAGCGATACAACCTAAGGCTATTCAGAGCTCCTCATATCGTTCCCTTACTACAAAAATAACGTAACTCAAAAAATGCAATTTTCGAGAAAAGAATGAGTTAGGCAAAAAATATTTCTTTATCAATCATCAAAAGTGAAACTTAACTCTAACTGGAATATTCGCGGATCCACTGTACTTTAAATTAATGTATCTTTGTTCAAAGTTAACGTAATTGAACGATTTTTTTCATTCTGAAGGCCAAAATCCGAGGAATAAAATTATGTAATTTAGTTTTTAGTACATACGATGATTTTGTGATCCTTTACTACACATGATAGATCATTCATGTTGCGGGTTAATTTTCATTACTACAAAAAATCGCGTCAAATGATTCTTACATATACTTTAATATCTTTAGAAAGTATTTGTAAGGTCGTGTATTTAAAAAATAGTAGGATATAAATATTATAATTAATTATTTGGTGCATCTATTATTTCAAAGGAAAAAAATGTGTAATACACGAATATTCAATTGTGTATATTAAGAGTTAAAATGATATAAGATTATGAACAAAACATTTGATATAAGTAATTTTTTACAACATATAATTGAAAAAAAATATTCGAGTGAATACCATTTAGAATTAACTTAAAAAATTGTCAAACGAAAAAGAGAGATGGTTCAAAAAAATCGACAAAATCATCACAACTTAAAAAAAGTAGTTTTTATGAGTTGTAAAACAAAATTAAATTTAATATAATCAAAATGATATTTGATTATATTAAAAATATATTCTTTTTGTCGATATTAGATATCATTTAATAATTTTCTGTCAAGTTAAAAAATAGACTTCCTCCTTTTTTGAGAAACTTAATTTTTTGTGTTGTTACTCTTAAAGTAAGGAAGCAATATATTTCAGTTACAAATATATTTAGAGTTAAAGAATAAAGTTTGAGAAATAACAGGGTCGAGATATGTATAATCAGTAAATACCGCCAATTAGCCGTGACATACTGACGTGACTTAATTCTATTGATTCATGTAAATGCTCCATTTAAGAAAAAGCCAAAGATCGCGCCTTTTGCACGAGCAAATCTTCTATTAAGCTCCGACTCAGTCAACGAATTTAAGTAAATCGTATCTCCAGAGAATCTTCAAATTCTCTTGCGGCGCTTGTTACTCCTGACATAGATTGCAACAGACAATAGACCGACCTGGGAAATTCGCTCTCCCTAGATACAGCGAGGCAATCACGCCGATCGAAATGCAACGCATTTTCTCGAACCGACTTGGTGCTTCTTCCGCAGGAGGTGGGAAAAGAGAAGGCGAAAGAGAGGGAAAAGTAGTCACCGGTGGTTATTTAGGTGATTACGCTTCGCTTCGCGGACGATGTGTGCACCATACACGTTTGATCGCATCGTCGTCGCGACAAATCGACATTGTGTCACTGCGCCTCGTTGCAGCAATAACGCATATAATATACGCGCGCGAGCGAGCGCGAGCGCAGCATTACAGACCGCTGATGTAATACTTTTATGATCGGCCGCCGCAATTTCTCGGTGACAACACTCGCTATTTCTGTCGCCGAGTTTGTGCACATGACTGCCGCGACGAGCAATATATCGCGCAAATACGCCCGACGCTCACGCCGGTATTTATACAGGGTGTTCGCCGTTTCTTCCGAACCGCGGATAAAGCTACGATGACGTTGGATCTTTGGTAGCTCTCTCTCGAGCCTCATGTGTCCTCACGGGTATAAATATATAATGAAAATTTTATCTCCGAGATAAGAAAAGAAACGGTAACGGTTATAAATATCAAATGATGACTCGTTTGATATGTCGTGCATAAAAATAATACTATTCGTAAATTATATTTATCTTGAAACATATAAAGCAAATTACCCAGAAACACTGTTGCCTGATAATACAAATATTTAATGAAATTAATTTTTTAATATTCATAGAATATTACGCAAAAATTGATATCTTTCCCTCATTTTATTTCTCTATTGATTTTAAGCTAATTTTATTTGGATAGAAATATAACAGTGCAAGTATTTAATTTAATAATTAAAATTTATAAAAAAATGGACAAATAGAATATTTTTCGTTAACATTGAAAAGTTAAATGGACTCTAAGTTCGGAATCGCTTAGACAGGAAAGAGTACATATCCGGGACACCCTGTACAATATATCGAGCGTGCTCCTTTTTTTCTGCTCCCTCCGTCGGCATTGTTCGTCCATGTAACGCGAGTCGTTTCTCGCTTTCAAAACGGAGCTTCCTTAAGCGGAGGAGAAAATCGAAGCCGGCGATGAGGGGGTACGCCGCGGCCGCTCGTTACGTAGGTGGAATCAAGGCGAAACTTTCCGCATGAAATTGCAACGTGCGCCCGGCCGTGTAATGCCCGAGTGGTACAACTCACCTGTACGTTACATGTCTTCGTACGCTGTCGATACCGCTCGCAGTAGAGGCTGCGCTTTTTCCATGCGGGGTGCATTGCTCTCGTCGAAGTCCATCCGCGTCGACGTTTCCCTGTGGTCCACCAGCCTGTCACGAAACAGAGGAAAAAAGGGGGCGTGATTGAGAAAAGTGAGTAGCGACGAGAGTCGGTTCCGCGGAATAAATTAAGCCCGAGGCAAGATGAATCGATGAATAATCTCGAAAATGTTAACTTTTTAAAAGGAGAGTGTCTATTTTTTCTTAATCTTACAGCTTTTTCTTGAGTAAGATTTGTTATAATTTATTATTTCATCGTATTCCTTGCTTCAAAACACGACACTGTTTCAGCACCACTGTGTGTATAAGTGACTTTCCCGTCCTGTAAAGATTAATAAGACCGAATAAGACGATTTCGAAAAACTACTCTCTAAATTCTTTGAAGTGGAATCTCATTTTAAAGAGATAAAATTGAACCAATCTTTAAAAAGGAGCGGCTCAATTTTCAATCTTTAAGAATGATATTTCAATCTTTGAAAGTGATATTTCACTCTTCAGAGTGAGATTCACTCTAAAAGTTTTACAAAGTACATAAATCAATAATTATCTAAAGAGATTGCATAACTGTTATATACGTAATTCTGTTCTATATATATTATATTATAATACCCAATATCTCTATTTCAACTTCTACACATGCTCTTTTATAAACTTCTCAACTGGATGGACATGTATAAGTATGTGGCATTTATAGCTAAAAAGGTTAAAGATCGAAAGTGGCTTCTATCTATGTATACAAGCCACCCTTCGCGTTCCCTCCGAGACACGTTAATCCGCAGAAATACGCGGCTGTGGTGGCGAAGATTGTACGGGCGGCAAAGTAAAAGAATGATTTATCGGTCGGCTGACTTTTCCCACCCGACTTTTCCCTCATGCGGAGGGCCGGCTGATCTTACTCAGCTAGTGTCTTCTGCTCTCACGTGAGAAACAATACCAGCGATGGTGTTACCACGCGATTCATTTTTTTAAATATCTTTTACATTATAACATATCTCTCTTTTCTCTTTTTTTTTATATACAGGCTGCCAAAACTTTTCTACTAATATATAATTTTAAAATTTGATAACAATTTTATGTATAAAAGTAACAAAGGTTCCAAAGAATACAATTCAAATATAAAATATATAAAATAAAAGGCTTGGGAGTCGAGCAAGATATTTATTAAATTAAATATCAGAATACATTAAGGATCAGAACAAAAGTTCGTAGTACTATACTAACTTCAGAATATAATTTCATCAAAACTAAACGAAATTTAAATTAAAAAAAAATAAAGCTTTAGAATCTCTACTTTTGAAAGATCATTACATCTTTTGAGTTTCTGTGAGTCTGGTAATTTTTACATACAGAAAACTACAAGCTGGACAAAATAGAAAATTTTGTTCTCATTTTATGACTCTGTCACGTGTCCAAAAAAAATGCGAAAACTTTCTAACATGAAAGCTTAAAGTTTTCCCTAAAAAATCGTCTTCTAGCAAAATGCCTAAGATTTTTTATTATTAAGTTATCGTGGATTAAATAAAAAGAGCATTTTGACTTTGATTGTATATAACTCCAAATCACAATTAAAAAAACAGATTCTTAAAGTTGAAACTTTTTTCTATTAAACAGTAGATGATATATTTGCCAAATTTTTTAAAAACGTATAGATAAGATGTAAGTAAAGTAGCACTATGAACTTTTGTTCCAACCTAATATAAAATAAATACTAGATTTTTATTTGTATAAAGATTCTTTATCCGAGCCATACAATGAAATTATTCATTTACAAAAACTTTTAATTATATATTCATTAATAATTTACGTGAGAATAGGAGAATAGTAAAAATTTGAAGAATGCAAACGCCTCGTTGGCAGACCGGCGAACTTTGCGTTTTGCGTTTGACATACACGGCCAAAAACGAAGGAAGAGATAAACGGAGAAGAAGGAAGAAGAGGGGACAGGCGAGTGGCGAGAGCAACGGTTACAGCAGAATAAACCCCTCAATAATGAGTTCCGCGAGTGAATTCCCTCGGTGCGGAGAGAGGCTCGAGATAATAAAACAGAACGGGACGTTGGCGGCGGTCGAAGGGAGACGAAAGGGGGCTAGGAAGGGTGGCGAGTGGGTGGCGGAGGGTACGGGGACGAGCGGGGATCGAGGGAGGTTTCCGCACTGGCAAGAGTAATAGTAAGAGGCAATAAAATATAATGAAATAACATCCAATCCAGGAGAGATATTGTGAAAATATTATTACTAACTTATTACTCGTTGGGCACGGCGTACCACGCTCTCGACCTTTTTCTCCATTTTTCCCTGCCTCTCTCTTGCTCTCCCTCCCTCCTCCCTCTATCAGCCAGTCTTCGTTCCCCCCGTTTCCTCCTGCTCTCGACAAATATATACAGGGTGCGCCTGAAAAGGTGGAGCTCGATAGTACCGTTTGCGAGAGATTTTTACTTGGCAAAGATTCCAATGGCTTTTTTTTCGATTTCTAACGTTAAGCATCCCGAAAATTGATGAGACACTGAATTCTTCTTTCGAATGAAAGTTTCGTAGAGATTAACTGTAAAATACAGTGTCCCTTGTATTTAAATTCTCTCGCACATATAGACGTAATTCGATAAAAAGTTATAAGTTCCAACGTTAAATGATTTATTGTGCAAATTGCGTAACGCGTATTAACAGTTATACATTTAAATATTAGATAAAGTAGATAATATATAAATTCGAAAATTTATCTGAAAGATGAAAAAGGAAATACATTTTAATAATAGAAAAAGTTGTACGATAGTTTTGTACAAAGACAACTATATATACATATATATATATATATGTTCATAGCAAAACTATCATGAAAGTATTATAATAAACATTTCTCGATAGTATCTTATGTTTTGTTTCAAAACTGGCTTTCCATCGATAATCAATTTTATGATCGATTCATTTAGTCGAAAAATTTCTACTCCTTTTAAGCACCCTGTATAACCCCTTCCATATATATAACCCGCTCCATCTTTCTTCCTTCTCTCCGTCCGTTTCGTGGTCGCCGGAGACGCGATAAAATTTTTCTCCCTTATCGAGTCCCAATAAAAATCGGTTACCCGTGGCAGAAGAGCGCCGGTCGTCGTCGGTCGGAGGATCGCGAAAAAAACGCGAGCACCGCGTCACCGAGTCGCAGACGACACAGCGCAGATTTCTACGGCTCGTTATTTTAAATTAACGCGAGAGCGCCGCTCCGTACTTTAAATTATATCAGGGCTGGATCCCAGAAGATTCTCGAGAGGTCGGCCGCCGACGTTAAAAATTAAGTATCTAAGGAAAGCGAGTTTTCGTTATAATAATTTTGTTGTAATAATCATTTATATTCATGAGATAAAGAGAGGATACTTTCCATTTTCAGAAGGGGGGGGGGGAAGGTAATCGCGTACGCGTTCTCGCTCTCTTCGCGGAAATTAATTAATCGTAAGACCACGACCTCTCCTCGTCTTCGGATTTCGCGGCGTGCGTTGCAGCACAAAGTGCAATCTGCCGCGTTCCGCGCAGTAACGCGCGTCGCGCCTACCGCCGTCGCTAGCCTAATCGCCCGGTATCGTCGTCGAAATTATTCCCTTTTAGCGTTGTTAGCTCGGTACGCTCGCGATTCGCGATCGATCCCCCGAGTTCGTCCGGCTCTCTCGCATTTGAAATGCAAAGTGCGCGGCCGAGCATTATCTTCCAGGAAAGACCGGCGGACGAATAGAAAGAAGGAAAGAGAGAGAGAGAGAGAGAGAAAGAAAAAGTAAAGAAACACAGAGGAAAAAGGCAGAAAAAAAGATTATCGTGGAGCGAGATATCCGGGGGAGGGGAATCGCGCGCGTGGTGACGAAAGATGGTTATATAAAACGCGGTTAGGAGGCGAAGAAGAAGGTAGAAGAGAGGTGCGGGGTAGGTGGCATGCAACAATCCTATCTGACCGTGTAAATCTCCGAGCGTCGTAACGAAGCGGCAAATCGAAACTAAACGGTAGCCCATGAATGGGAAATTAGAAAATAACGTTACGCTGGCGCGAGGTCGCGCGCGCTTCCGGCCGGGACACCCTGTGCACGTACACACACGTGCGTGCGAGTCGTCTCACGCATCGGAGCTGCCGTAATGCACATTATTATCTCGTAAGCGAAATCTGATTACGAAGTCCTTTTATTAAGGATTTAATTGATCGACGACGCTTAAAAATGCGCTCGGTCGTCGTCTCCGTTCGTGCGTTTCGCGCTGCTTTCCATCCTTCCGTTTCCCATTTTTTCTTCCCCCACCTCTCTCTTTCTCTTCTGTTAAATCTCTCTCTCTCTTTCTCTCTGCTGCATTTCCTTCCCCTCTCTGCATCTGTAATAAAATTTACCTCCTCCCTTCCTTTTTTATGCACGACCGTTACTTGCGTTCATTTGTTTTCCGCATCTTAATTGCATCGTTGCCAAATTGGATTCGGTGTCTTTCTATATTTGCATTCCTGTTGTTTTCGAATTTTCCGGCCCGTCATTTTATACCACTTACGTGTATATTGCGAGTATATTGTTCTCGTGGGTTCCCATCCGGAACATAATAAACCGCCATCCGCCCTATCTACCTATCTACCTATCTATACGTCTCTCTTTCGCACCGTGTTACGCCGAGTTTTTTATTTATTTATTTTTTTTATTTGGCTTAAAGAGTTTAGCAATGTAATCGGAATATTTTACGCCCTCCCTTTATAGTCACCTATTACACGTGAGCCGCAAACAAATTTCAAATATTTTATTTTCGGTCAGCAAGACATTTTTCTGAAACGGCAAATCCAGCGATCTGCGAACGATTAGGCGGATCGAATACCAGAAAATGGTGAGAATTCTTAAAAGAATAATTTGAACAATTGCTGTTTTATAATGTTCTAATTTTTTACTTATCCATTCGATGAAATCTATGCGAGTGTCCGAACATAAGTAATAATGTACATGTATTTTAAGGTCTGTCGTGAGAATTTTAAATCGATGACACCGATTTTATTTTCCACGATTTCCCAAGTACGAAAAATTTGTAATGTCTTGTAATTCTTGACATTTA